CGTGTTTCCGCACTTTACAGTTTACAGATGCTTTAGTTTTCATGTGATTTTAACCCCGTGAAGGCTCCATGAGATAGGTGTTACTGTTTTCATTCTCTAAATGCAAACACTGCCTCTCAGAAAGTGTGAGCAATTTGCCTTAATCACTCCGCCAGGAACTAGTACAGGTAGGTATCCAACTGCCGTTCCTACATGTGGATGGCACACCTTCCAATTCCCTGCCTCCTGTTTTCCCAACCGCCCCCCCCCAAGCCACTGTGACTTAGATTATAAAGTGAACCCAAAAGAGGCGTGTAGTGCTGTGGGCTTCAACCACTCCCAGACCTCTTTTTGTGTTAGTTGTATCCAGTCCCTTCTCAGCTTGCTTCAGTGACAGTCCCGTTGCTCAGAGAATCAAAAAGGTGACCAGTTCTAAGCAGAGTCAACAATTAAGCTAAGCAAATGTGACGAAGATGCTGAAAGACAGTGCCGATGTGGTGCTGGAATTTGTGAGAGCCGAGAGATGACGGTTGAGGGGATTAAGGAATGGGAGAAAAGCAGCTTTCCACTGGCTCAAGGAAGAAGGAACCCTGCTTTGGTCCCAGAAGACTCCAGATGGCTCAAGAAGCTTGGAAAGCGCTCAGAAATGTGCTTCTGGTGATGAAATTCACACATGTTTTCAGGGCAGGAGGGAAGCATTCTGATAAACCCAGTTTTTTAAAAGATACACATTAGAGAGTAAAAGAAAAAGATTCTGTAAGGAGGAACCAAGGGAGGAATGTGTACTTTTAAGAATAGGATCAGAAAAGCTAAAAAACAAAAGTACCCCCAATTCAGTTGATACTTTGCAAAAATACCTGGGAGGACAGAGAAGACTTCCCAAGTTAGATGCCAGGGTCCAAAACCTCTACGAAAATATCATTATCACAGATGTTTATAGCTATGTCCCAGAGTCATTAAGGACGGTTCTGTTATGTTCAGTGACTTCCACTTAAAAAGACTAGGAATATTTCAGAAAGAATTGCAAACCCCAGCACTTTCAGATTTATCTATCGACTATCCAGAAAACTAGGTTATCTTGATAGGCAAAGTTTAACTATAGCATACATTACCCTCTTGGCATTTCTGCTGTTAAAGCAGCTATGCCTGCTAATTTTATTTTATTCTTTATTGAACTATAGTTGATTTACAGTACTGTGTTAGTTTCAGATGAGCAGCAAAGTGATTCAGTTTTACATATTTTTTCCAATTCTTTTCCATTATAGGTTATTACAAGACACTGAACATAGTTCCCTGTGCTCTACAGTAAATCCTTGTTGTTTATCATCTGTACCTGCTTATTTTATATTTGATTCTTCAGAGTCCTCCTGGATCATTGTATTTGGTTCTCTCCATTTCATATTATTTTCTTCCTTTCTATGGAATGAAGAAATGGCCTTGGAATGGTGAAATATTATATTTAAGACACATAGCAAATGAGTCACAAGGCCAGGATCTTTGCAGAAGTAGCCAAGGGAATAGCAGCGAACCTGGCTGCTTTATGCAAATAATTTTAGTGTTGCAACCAGTCCGCACATATTACACTATTTTAGAAAGAAAATCACAAGGGGTGTTACAGATTCAGGATGTGGTTTTGTAGTTGGTTTGGGCTAAGCAACTATGGTAAACTGGCTACATGAAATCCAACCAGTGACCCTGAATGGTGTCACCCTCTCTGGCCAGATTCTTCTCCTAAAGCAGCGTTGTGTGTCATTCCAGGCGCTTCGATATCCTTACTTCCAGATTGGGCACCCCCTGGGCAGCACCACACAGAGCCTTCAGGATTCAGGAAAACCACAGAAGGACATCCTGGAAAAGGCAGGCCCACCGCCCCACATAAAGCCGGTGCCTCCCGCCCAGCCCCCAGCCAAGCCACACGCACGGATTTCGTCGAGACAGCATCCAGCCAGCCAGCCCCCTCAGCATCTCCTGTACTCCTACAAAGCCGAGGCTGCCAGGACAGACCACCCTCCGGAGGACAAGCCCAGCCCTCTGCACTTGCCACCCCTCCACACCAAGCATCCTCAGGCAGTAAGCAGGAAGAGCTGCTAGGGAGCCTTGCGCCTGGCCTGCTCCTCTTCTGAGCCTACCTATGGCATGAAATAGTTTCTTTTTCAGCAGATCACGGCTAACTATAGTAGCTCTGTCTTTGCAATCTCGTGGAATTGTGCAAAGAGCTTTGGCTTTGGAGTTAAAGGTCAAGTTCTAACGCTGCCTGTGAATTACAGTGCCGCTCGTAGAGGGCAGCCAAGGGTTGAACGCTGCAGCCAGGGCACCAGGGTCCCCGTCTCGGCTATGTGGCTTCACAGCACGATGGCGCTGTGCAGGGTGCCTGGCCTCTCTGTTCCTCGCTTCCACATCAGTGAAACAGGGGCGGGAATGAGAGTACCTGCCGGATACAGTTCTTTTGAGGACTAAATGAGTGCAGGCTTGAAAGATTTTAGAACAGTACCCAGCACCCAGCTAGAACTTACTAAATGTCTAGTCCCTGTTAATATTCATCTTTGTGGACCCCATGCCCTCATCCCGATGCCTGTCTTGCCCACCAGGTGGGGCT